AAACAAACAAAAAAACCCCCCCCAAAAAACCCACCACACACACACACGCACCTACCTCCGACTGACATAAGTTTCACTGACAAAAGTGCTGGTGTGGACAGCGCTATATCAGGGGGAGACGCTCTCCTGTCGGCATACAGGGGCTATACAGGAGACCTTACAGTGGCGCAGCTGCAGTGGTACAGCTGTGCTGCTGTAAGGTCTGTAGTGTAGAAACAGCCTATGTTGGAATTCTGGGAAACACATTGTATGACCTTTTAAGAAGACTACTGCAATGCTTACCCTTCTGGCCAAGAACCCATTAACACCTATGCTCATTTGATAAGTGATCCACAAGACTAATTTGCAAGTTAGATCACTCATATATCTTTAAAGAGTTAACAATGTTGCTCTTGATAAAGGGAAGGCACTCCTCTATTGAGGAGTCAGGGGACACTACTTCCCATAAGATTCCCAGTTTGTTGTCATTGGCACTTGCTCCAATGATCCACCCTGCAAAAATCTAACACAGGTCTCCTGAAATCAAAACACTAGATCGGGGTCGGCAACGTTTGGCACGCGGCTCGCCAGGGTAAGCACCCTGGCGGGCCGGGCCAGTTTATTTACCTGCTGATGCGGCAGGTTCGGCCGATCGCGGCCCCCACTCGCCGCGGTTCGCCGTCCCGGGCCAATGGGGGCGGCGGGAAGCCGCAGCTACCATATCCCTCGCCCGTGCCGCTTCTCGCCGCCCCCATTGGCCCGGGACGCGAACCGTGGCGAGTGGGGGCCGCGATCGGCCGAACCTGCCGTGTCAGCAGGTAAATAAACTGGCCTGGCCCGCCAGGGTGCTTACCCTGGCGAGCCGCGTGCCAAACGTTGCCGACCCCTGCACTAGATGGTCTGTATCTTGGCACAAATGAAAGTAAATTTTCATACAAGAGGAGCTGACTGAAAAATTTAAACTATGAATACTAAAATGTAAAAATCCCTCACCTAGAATGTTTCACACTAAACTATTTCAGAAAAAAAAAATCAAAGATTTTAAACTATTTATAAATTCAGTTGTTCAGTAGAAGTTATATTCCACCTACCAAACATTTCAAATACACAACTGTTTTTGACACTTAAAAGTCACATTATATTCCAAAATTACAGTTGATCTAGTCGTCAATACATGACTTCATATTGAGAAATGATCTAGTTTAATACTGGTAAAATATTTACTACCTCCATTAACTTACACACACAAAAAAAGGATAATTTAACAATTAAAAAGGCATCTCCCCTGCTATTTACTAAATGGTAACATTTTCTATCTGTCCCAATTTAATTAGCTAGCATGTTTCTCTTTAACGACTTGCATAATACAAAGGAGGAACAGCAACTTTTCTACCGAAAATTCATGGGATTCTTTGATGCATTAAAATTTTTGGAAATACTAAAGGAATTTTAGTTTTCCTACCTGCAGCAGCCATGTGCTCACTTGTTCTAATTGGCTGAAAGCCCACAAAAGGTATCTGCATGGATAATATTAAGCCCACAATGTAGAAAGTGCTATATGCTATAGAAGAGAAAAGGGGAAGAGTATGAATTACTACATAATACTTCAAAAAACAATTTCAATTTTCCTTTTATCCCCATCTGTAATGACACATAATATAGCAGAACTACATCATTTTGGTATTTGTAGTATTGATTTATATTACACTCTATTTTTATTCAGATTTACCCTGAAAAGATCTTAGCAAGTTTCACAACAGGAACACTCTCATTAACAATGGCTCTGGGGGAAGCAAGGAGACCACTGTTACTAATTGCACTAATATGTTCTTGCAAAGCATGAAAGTTAGAGTAAACTGCGCACTCCGGCGGATCAAAGCAAGTTCAATATAACGCGGTTTCACCTATAACGCGGTAAGATTTTTTGGCTCCCGAGGACAGCGTTATATCGAGGTAGAGGTCTAACTTGAAAAGCAACCAAAAAAAAATAAAATAAAAGTGCCTTAAAAAACCCCCACGGTGCACCATATATATTTTTAAACTTTGAAACTCATTAAACCACAAAGGATTGGAAGCTAAGAATTCAGCAGGGTTGGGAGGGGGAAAAAAGATTAGAATTTACATGGACAATAAGAACATCCATAGTAAAATATTAGATAAAATTAGGAGCATTTTATTTTGAAGGGACTTCATGCCACCATGCTTCAGGACATAAACCATCCACTACCTGAAGAGATTTGGGAGAAACTTTCCATTATGAGCAGGTTATTCCATCACTGTCCACTACAAGGCTTCTTACACATTTCCCTGTTGCATCTGGTACTGGCCAATATCAGACACATAACATTGAACTAACTGGATTACTGGTCAGATGTGGTATGGCAATTTCTAAGCAGGACTAGTATTATGCTCCTGCTTTTAAGAGCCTACTGGAGTCTGAAAGGATTATGGATTTCATGATCCTAGTAAATGTCATTCAGTGTAGTTGCCATGAATCTACTGCAATATTAAAAAGCAAGATCATGGTACTACTTTTAGTTTGTTTACGGCAGCCTGAACTTTACAGAAAAAATAACTATATATAGCTACTATGCAGCTGTAGAATAATTAGCACAACAGGGCCTCAATCTTAGTTGGGACCTCTAGGTGCTCCATTAATACAAATAAATACCATTGGCATCAGAGATTAAACAGATCAAAAGTAGCAGTGAGAGAATAAACAGTGGTGGTTAAAACCCCATTCCTCCACCTGACCCCCACAAACACAACCTGAGTATCGCAGCTTTTAAACAGATGTGGGTAATAAAGTTTAGAAGTGGGCTACCAAAATGTCTCTCTTTGCCAACTAGACTACAGTGTAGCAAATTAATGTTTACCTGAAAACATTTATGTTTAATTACAAGACAAAAACTATATTAAGAGACAGGTAAGATTGAAAATACACATCTGTAATTTAGGATAAAATACACTAGAGGTACATTTTATTATCCCCACAAACAAGTATTATAAACACAAAATACTCAAAGTGAAGATTAAATTTAAACAGAAATCTAAGCATATTAAGTTGCTTTACCTTATCAATTTTTTTTTTAAACTTTCCCTTTATTTTTTTAGTAGCTCATGTTTAAGACAGTCCTTTACTATATTTGTTTTTTTGGGAGGGGGGGGGGGTCTCTGCTGCTGACTGATTGCGTACTTCCAGTTCCATATGAGGTGTGTGGTTGACTGGTCAGTTTGTAACTCTGGTGTTCGTAACCCTGAAGTCCTACTTTACAAAATGGGATATGACTGCCTAGGAAGGAGTACTGTGGAAAGGGATATGGGGATTATAAGATACACTATTGACTCATATTTAACACTGTTGCAAAAAAACACAAAACAAAACCAAAAAAACCAACACAACAACACCCAAACATACTGGGATGGATTAGAAAGAGTGTTGTCAACATGACATGAGAAGTAATTCTTCCAAGCTACTCTGTGTTGATAAGGCCTCAACTGGAGTAGTGTGTCCAATTCTGGGTGCCACATTTCAGAAAAGATGTGGCCAAATTGGAGAAAGTCCAGAGGAGAGCAACAAAAATGATTAAAGGTCTAGAAAACATGACCTATGAAGAAAGACTGGAAAAAAACCTGGGTTTGTTTAGTTTGGAGAAGTGAAGACTTAGAGGGGACATAACAGTTTTCAAGTAGATAAGAGGTTATAAGGAGGAGGGAGAAAAATTGTTCTTGTTAACCTCTGTAGATAGGACAAGAAACAATGGGCTTAAATTGCATCAAGGGTGGTTTAGGTTGGACATTACTTCCCAACTGTCAGGGTAGTTAAGCACTGGAACAAACTGCGTTGGAAGGTTGTGGAATCTCCGTCATTAGAGGTTTTAAAAAACAGGTTAAACAAAAACCTATCAAGAATGGTCTAGTGATTACACAATCCTGCCTTGAGTGCCGGAGACTGGACTAGATGACCACTCATGGTCCCTTGTAGTCCTACACTTCTCTAATTCCATGTGTAGCTCTGTAGATAGGCAAGTACAAACTGCCTAAGAATCACAGTTTCCCCTTAAATTTACCCCCCCCCCATTTGAAAACATATTTCAGTATTAAGGTGTCCACAACTAAATGCAGCACTCTAAATACAGTCTCATCAGAGTCATATGAAAATGAACCATTGGGTTCATTTCCTTGGCCTCTGGTAGTGATGCCTCTGGATATGCAGCACAAAAATTGCAGAGATTAGCTCACAGCCAATTTGTTATGCATCTGTTTGTGTCACTATTTCTAGTTCTCTAGGCACAATTGTAGTATTTCTGTCTTTTATAGTATATGCAATACCTCAATTACGTATTCTGATTTCTTCTCTCAATTGGCTAATTACTTAATTAATGGAAGTCAGACATAACAGGTTAATTGCCTTTTCTTTCAAAAAGATATTTACCAAATTAACTTTTTCCAGGTCCCTGCTACCTGTTACATTCTCCAAGACTTCTCAAAAATTGTCATTTGTGGAGTTTAATTATCTAATCTATTTTCTTATGTTGCGCCTGATAAGAACATAACAGCAGCCATACTGGGTCAGACCAAAGGTCCATCTAGCCCAGTATCCTGTCTTCCGACAGTGGCCAATGCCAGGTGCCCCAGAAGGAATGAACAGAACAGATAATCACCAAGTGATCATCCCCCGGTGCCCATTCCCAGCTTCTGGCAGAGGGTAGGGATACCATTCCTGTCCATCCTGGCTAAAAACCATTGATGGACCTATTTCCCCCCCCCGAACTTATCTAGCTCTTTTTTGATAAGAGAGGCTCATGGATAGATTCCCTTTTTGAAGCATAATACTGTAACTTATGACTCATGTTTCATTGTGTTCCTTAATATTTACACCAGAGCAGCTAAAGGCCCCACATTATATATCTTCAGTAATCTCCAATTTCACAATAATGTGTCCAGGAATTTTTCTGCAGCAGATCAGAATTACTGTAGATTTGTTTATTTTTCCTCTTATATCCTTACCTGCAGTACTCTGTCACTATCGTCTTCATTATAAGCTTGTACCTCACTGGCTTGGTAAATCCTTGAGATATGCCATGGCTCTATCTTCCTTTTATATCTCACCTAAGACTGCGCCCATAGCATCAACATTCTATTTTGAGACTTCACATCAACAAATACTCATTAAGAAAATCTTGTCGTCGATATTACTTTTAGCTCACCTTGCTTCCCCCATCCTCAAGTGTACAGACTTTTAAATTCGGGCTGTCGATTAATCGCAGTTAACTCACGCGATTAACTCAAAAAATTAATTGCAGTTTTAAATGCACTGTTAAACAATAGAATACCAGTTGAAATGTATTAAATACTTTTAGATGTTTTTCTACACTTTCAAATATATTGATTTCAATTACAACACAGAATACAAAGTGTACACTACTCACTTTATATTATTTTTATTACAAATATTTGCACTGTAAAAATGATAAACAAAAGAAATAGTATTTTTCAATTCACCTCATGCAAGTACTGTAGTGCAATTTCTTTATCGTGAAAGTGCAATTTACAAATGTAGATTTTTTTGGTTACATAACTGCACTCAAAACAAAACATTGTAAAACTTTAGAACCTACAAGTCCACTTCTTATTTACAATGTCACCATAAAGTGAGAACAAGCGTTTGCATGAGACTTTTGTAGCTGGCATTGCAAGGTATTTACGTGCCAGATATGCTAAACATTCATATGTCCCTTCATGCTTCGGCCACCATTCTAGAGGACATACTTCCATGCTGATAATGCTTGTTAAAAAAATGTGTTAATTACATTTGTGACTGAACTCCTTGGGGGAGAATTGTATGTCTCCGGCTGTTTTACCCACATTCTGCCATATGTTTCATGTTATACCGGTAGTAGTCTAGGATGATGACTCAGCACATTGTTCGTTTTAAGAACACTTTCACTGCAGATTTGACAAAATGCAAAGAAGGTACCAATGTGAGATTTCTACAGCATGCGACCCAAGGTTTAAGAATCTGAAGTGCCTTCCAAAATCTGAGAGGGATGAGGTGTGGAGCATGCTTTCAGAAGTCTTAAAAGAGCAACACTCCAATGCGAAAACTTCAGAAGCCGAACCACCAAAAAAGAAAAATCAACCTTCTGCTGGTGGTATCGGACTCAGATGATGAAAATGAACATGAGTCAATCCACACTGTTTTCGATTGTTATCGAGTAGAACCAGTCATCAGCATGGACGCATGTCCTCTGGAATAGTAGTTGAAGCATGAAGAGACATATGAATCTTGAATGCATCAAGCTTGTAAATATCTTACGACGCTGGTTACAACAGTGCCATGCAAACACAAGTTCTCACTTTCAGGTGACATTGTGAACAAGAAGTGGGCAGCATTGTCTCCTGCAAACGTAAACAAACTTTTTTTGTCTGAGCGATTGGCTGAACAAGAAATAGGACTCAGTGGACTTGTAGGCTCTAAAGTTTTACATTAAAAGCTTTGTTATCCGGCATGTTGGGGGAATGGGGCGTGTCGGTTAATCAAATATTCTGGTTAACTGA